AGTGGATAGAGTGTCGGCCGTGGACCGAAGAAGGGTCCCAGGTTCAATACCAGTCAAGGGCATGTACCTGGGTTGCGTGCAGGAGGCAGCTGATCGATGTTTCTCTCTCATCGATGTTTTTAACTATCCCTCTCCCTTCCTCTCTGTAAAAATCAATAAAATATATATATTTTTAAAAAGGATATGCAGGAAGAATATATTTGAGCAAAAGGAGAAGAAAATTGGGTCAGTCTAGGTAGTGCTGAATTTGAGGCACATCCAGGTAAAGTTATCCAGAGTGCAGTTGAGAATGTACACCTGACTTAGGGGAGAGATTTGGCCTGGAGATAGTCATTTGTATATAGGTTGTAGCAAGAGCCATGTGATTGGATCAGATTTTCCAGGAAGACAGGAAAGCAAGAAGCAGCCTTTAAAGATCATGGAAAGAAGGAGGGCCCCTTCAAAGAGAAAACTGAGAACTCGGAGGCAAATGAGGGAGTTCTGTGCTAGAGCTTGAGGAAGACCTGGCCAGCAGCTTCAAATGTGGCAGAGAAATGTGAACAGGTGGAAAGGACGTTGACAGTGCAATGCCTTACTTTCAAAATAGCTGGATTACCAAGGGAAAACGAGAGTAAAAACTAGGATACTTAAGTCAGGGAAACATTTTTAAAGATGGGCTAGCTAGTAGCAAAGGAGATTAATAGTCAAGATGAGGGAGGACAATAGAAAAGGGTTGCTGAGGTAGTGATAGTTAATGAGATACAAAGTACACGTGGAAGGATTAACTTTGCAAAAAAGGATGGATAATTCTGAAATGAAAGAAGAGGGATGAAGGGAACAGTGGAATTAGGTGTAGAGGGAAACAGCAGAATATACGCTCAACACATGTACATACTTTCTCACCTTAATCCTTTCAATGCTGCAAAATAGGATGTATTCTATATTCCATTTTCATAAATAAGGAAATTGATACTCAACACAGTAAATAAATGGTAAGGGTCAGGGTATTCCAAGTGTTAGGAGGATTTAAGAAGGTTGTCTCCACCATAGAATTTTGCCCCAAGAGGGAGTAAATGAATGTTAGCCCCCTCTTACCTGGATCACTTCTGTTCTTTTAAAAAAAAAAGTAAGAAAGAAAGAAAACCCTAAAACAGTGGTTCTCAACCTTGGCTGCACATTAGAATCACCTGGGAATCTTTTTAAAATCCTGATTTCTGGGCCTCATCCTCCGGAAATTCTGTTTCTTTGTTATGGGGTGAGGCCACAACATTACTAACAAAGAAATAGAATTTCCTGCCGAAACTGGTTTGGCTCAGTGGATAGAGCATCAGCCTGCGGACTGAAAGGTCCCAGGTTCGATTCCGGTCAAGGGCATGTACCTGGGTTGCGGGCATATCCCCAGTAGGAGATGTGCAGGAGGCAGCTGATCGATGTTTCTCGCTCATCGATGTTTCTAACTCTCTATCTCTCTCCCTTCCTCTCTGTAAAAAATCAATAAAATATATTTAAAAAAAAAAAAAAAAAGAAATAGAATTTCCGGAGGATGAGGCCCAGAAATTTGGATTTTAACAAGATTCCCAGATGATTCTAATGTGCAGCCAAGGTTGAGAACCACTGCCCTAAAATATCACCTAGGACAGTGGTTGGCAAACCGCGGCTCGCGAGCCACATGCGACTCTTTGGCCCCTTGAGCGTGGCTCTTCCACAAAATATTGACTTCTGCACATGGGCCACAAAATTTCAATCGCACTGTACGTGCGCGCCCACACGTGGTATTTTGTGGAAGAGCCACACTCAAGGGGCCAAAGAGCCACATGTGGCTCGCGAACTGCGGTTTGCCGACCATGGACCTAGGATATAATTTTCCAGGCAGTTTTTTGTGCAGCTCTTTTGCATCTGACTAAATTTCCCATACTAACTTCCAGTAACACTCTCATCTCTTGTTTATACTTGTCCCATCCTCACAAGTACCTTTATTTTCATAGGGCTTTCAGAGTTTGCATCTTTTCCTTCATCTGGCCAAAGAATGCTTTCTCCTGAAAGTCCCCTCTGACGCATCTCCTCCTGGCTCTAAGGACAAACCATACCTAATCCAACATGGGGCCTTCCCCATTACCCTCTCAGATGACCCATTAGTATCAGGTAGACAGGAGTGTCATACCCTTGCATCTACCTACCTGATATTTTTAATAAATCTGGAAAGATTAATATGACTTGAAAGATAACATGTAAATTATACAGAAAATGTTCTGCTTTTCTTGACTACACAGCCAATAGTTTCGGAAGATCAGACAGCAGCCCTGATGGCCCATCTCTTTGAAATGGGATTCTGTGACAGGCAGCTGAACCTGAGGCTGCTGAAGAAACACAATTACAACATCCTGCAGGTTGTGACAGAACTTCTTCAGGTCAACAACAACGACTGGTACAGCCACCGCTATTGAGAAGTGACCATGTATTAAATAACTTTGCCTGCTGCTCAGAGATGATCTTTATTGTCATTGGGGTGTGGGGCAGAAGCCCTTGCTTATTTTTTAATCTGATGAATATGTATAGAGCCCATGATTGAATTGTCAAGACAATACCTGTATTACATTATTTTTTGGAGCAAATCAAAGACCAGACGTAAATTTTCACTTTAAACATTGAATGAATTGTAGAAAGACAGCTTTTCAGTTGATTTGGATAAAACTCCTTTCTCCATTTTAGTGCGTTGGAGAGTATAACTTGAACTTCTTATACCATTTTTCTCTTGCTTGTATTGAAGTTGAGTATTTTTCTTGGTTAATGCAGATGTTTGTATGGGGTTATATGTTATTAATTGTCAATTTTTAAAAGAAATTAACCCTGAGCCCTAGCTGGTTTGGCTCAATGAATAAGAGTGTCGGCCGACAGACTGAAGGGTCCCAGTTTCGATTCCAGTCAAGGGCACATGCCCAGGTTGCGGGCTCGAGCCCCAGTAGGGGGCGTGCAAGAGGCAGCCAATCAATGATTCTAGTCATTGATGTTTCTCTCCCTCTCCCTTCCTCTCTGAAATGAATAAAAATATATTTTTAAAAAAGAGAGAGAATGAAAAGAAATTAACTCTGAAAGTTGTTTTCAAGAATTACTTATAATTTCTCTATCCTATCCCAAGGCTTAGCTATGTGGTATTAAACTGATACCCAGAGCATGATAGGAATGTTACTCTTCCTTTCTCAAAGAGAAAGTAATTTCCTGCAAGACTTAATAATTGGCATGTTGTTTTTTAAAGAGCCCATTGATGAATTTAAGAATATCTGCCTTCTGGGTTTCTACACTTCAGTGAAAGGAGAGGGGAGTGTGCTGATTAAACCACCAGCCCCTTTTCAGCAGTGTCTATTGTAATTTTACATACATTTTTCTTTTATTTAAGGGAGAAAAAATTAGGTAGTGTGAAATATTTTGCTAATCCTATAGAGCAGGGGTGGGGACCCTTTTTTCTGCCAAGGGCCATTTGGGTATTTATAACATCATTCTCGGGTCATACAAAATTATCAACTTAAAAATTAGCCTGCTATACTTGGTCAAACATTTAATCAACTCACCCCTAATGCCTTGGCAGGGCCAGACCAAATGATTTCCCAGGCCTTAAACAGCCTGAGGGCTGGACCTTCCCCACCCCTGCTATAGATGTCAGGGCAGATTTTATTTACAGTAGTTGGGTGGGGAGATAGAAATAGGAAAAGTGAAAAGCAGGCTCCTGTGTTCATCTTGGCAAAGTTCAAGGGTGGGCAAATGAGTATGTGTGAGGCATAGGAAATCCTGATGACTTCTGGAGGTTTGAAATCTATTCAAGGGTACGAGCCCTAGAGTCTAGAACAGAAAAGAGAGGCTGGTGTTTTGCAAAACTTGGATGGGGACAAACACTGAACGTTTTTGGCCCAGGATGAGTGGAGAAGAGCTTGCTTCCGTGGGTGCAGGCCATCCCTTTGTTTACAGAAGAGCGTCTGTGAGAAATAAGGCGAGCCCCCACACTGTGGGTCCTGGTAGAACCCAAACATACTCGGGAGCCAGGCAGCAAAAGGCAAATCCCTTTACTTCTACCAGAAGGGTGTGCACGCCTGGTCTGGAAGCATGTGCCCACGAGCAGGTGGTCTGCTTGGCTTTATAACCCCTCACCTCGGGACCTGCCCCTCTTGACTGGAGCTCAGGCACACAGCCATTACAATTAGCTAATTCAAAGGGAGGGGTTGGCTTTTGGGGTTCAGGATGCGGCCCAGGGGAGCTGCAAGCCACATGGCCAACATGGTGCCTGCCAGTCATGCAGCCCAACGTGGGGCTGTCTATAAACTGTTCTCTGACAGAAAAGGTGGCTTGTTTATTCTCACAAGTCTTGGGTACAATTGGTGAAGAAAGAGGTTACCAAAACAAAAAAAAACACTAAAAGATATAGTCACGAAAATGACTTAAAAGGAATCTCACCAGCCCGAAAGGGGGAAGGATAGTGAAATAGTATTTAACCTGGTTGGTGCTATAATGAATGACTTTAACATGATGATGTTTATTTACAGTATAACTCTCGAATGCTAATTAATAAGCCAGGGTTCAGACTGCAGGCCAGCCAGGCTGTTCATTATTGGAAGCGTCTTTACCCGGCATCTGGGTAGAGGCTGAGCGGCAGGGTGCGTGTAATCAATGGGGTGGATGTAGGGCGGGACTGCCTTGATCCTGAGTCGTACTGTCGGGCCCTGGGGTGCGGTCGTCCGCCCCATTGTACTTGTACATAACTGCTGAAAAAATGGTGAAATAAAGGTAATTTGAAAAACCTACCTGGACTGGCTGTCCTTGTGGAAGCAGCGCCGGGGCCTGAGTGACCCGAGCATCTCTGGCCGCTGGGTCGGAGGGGCGGGCCCTGCCGGGAGCGGGCGGAAGGAGCGGGGGCGGGGCTTCCCGAGGCCCCGAGTCAAAGCTGGGGCGGGTCCCCGGCTCCCGCACTTTCTATTCCGCTTGCAGCCGTTTCTGTCGAGTAACCGCGGGTAAGACGCTCACGGGACCCTTCTTTCTCTTTGGGAGGAAAGGGCCAGGCATTCGCGGCTAGCGGCCTCTGCGGGTGTCCGGTGGGACGTGAAACACCTTGTCAATGAAATCCCAGCCTCTCCGTCTGCTCCCCACCCCGGCCGATGGCCCTCCCCGGAGTAGGGCGGGGAGCAGCTCCCCACCTCCTCCAACGCGGTGCACTGGGTCCCCAGGACTCTGCCCAAGGGGCCCGGTTGCCTGGCCGGCCCCAGCCGCGGCTCCTGGACGAACCTGCCCTGCAGGCCCTCTTCCCCATGGACGCAACCCCAAATCTCTTCTTGCAGCTGAGTGGAGCCCGGATCTGCGGTTTGAACCAGGAGAGGCCCCCGTTATTTGGCCCAGGAAGGTCCGTGCGGCTCGCCTTGCCCGCTCATTCTGCCACCACTCTTGAGTTTGGGGGCAAGAACCTGGAGTTAGCCTTGGCCTTTCCTAGTGAAGGACAGATGCTGACGTTGCTACTACCCGCCCCGGGCACCCTCTCTGAAAAGACCTCAGAAGGCAGTGAGGAAGACGTTCATGCTCCCTTCCAGGTTATGTTAGGGGTCTGAGCCCCACCTGTGACCAGTCTAGCCTCCTTTCTCTTATTGCAAAGAATCCCTGCCTTATTAAAGGCTGCACCTGCCCAGGCATGGAAGCTTTCCTTCCACCCCCGAGCTGGGAGACCGCAGGCATTTCTGCCCAGGTGCTCTGGAATCCTCTTGAGAGTAATCGTGTTTAGAGTCACCTTGCAGAAAGAAGGGACTCTATGACTGCTCTCCCCTGCCCTACCCAACTTACTTCCCCTGAAGTGAATGCCTGCTCAGCAACTTTTCCCAGGAAAAGATACATGATCTTCTGTTCACTTATGGAAGTCCTTTAAGTCAGTGGTTCTCAACCTTCCTAGTGCCGCGACCCTTTAATACAGTTCCTCATGTTGTGGTGACCCGCAACCATAAAATTATTTTTGTTGCTACTTCATAACTGTAATTTTGCTACTGTTATGAATCATCATGTAAATATCTGATAGGCAGGATGTATTTTCATTGTTACAAATTGAACATAATTAAAGCATAGTGATTAATCACAAAAACAATATGTACTTATACATGTGTTTTCCGATGGTCTTAGGCGACCCCTGTGAATGGGTCGTTCGACCCCCCAGGTTGAGAACCGCTGCTTTAAGTGAAATAACTTCCTCTTTTCCCTCTTGTGGGCAGATTGAGCGCGCCTACAGTATGAAAGAAGTTGGAAATGCATTGAGATTTCTGACCTGAGAGTGCAGTGTAACGGCTCCATTTTCCATTCCCTAGCTAGCTTAGGCTTGAACTTGCTGAAATTGTGGTGGGACTCCTGGCCAATCTTGAGAACCTAAAACCAAATTGACATTCAGCATCAGTGCGAACAAACTAGCACCGAGCTTTGTTCTTTTCTCAGTGAAAAAGCCCCCTACACGATGGGTGAGACGTTCTCCCAGCTGGGCTCTCAGGAGGACGAAAACAGGTCGATCCTACCCCGTGATTCAGCCAGCCATGGTAGCAGCGAGTATTTTTCTTCCTGTGCCCCTTGTGAAAGGGCTGCTAATACCAGCTTTGTGACTTGTCCCACCTGCCAGGGCAATAAGGAGATCCCTCGAGGTGAGTGGCTCAAGGCTCTGGAAATAGCCTGCAATCCAGGAAAAGCTCTTGGCGGTCAGCTGGCCCGTGGCCAGGTGCCTCTGAGGCTATCCTTGAATGGGGTTGGGTCTCCCAGCTCATGGTCCCCCAGTGTAGGGCTGGCCAGGGAGGTGCTAACCCCTCCTGCCCTGGTTGTGCTCCCCAGCCCCTGGGGTTCCCAGCCTCTCTGCTCCCTTAGCTACAGTGTGCCGTAGGATTCAGGAAGTTACCAATGGCTTCTCCAAAGAAGCTAGGCTCTGAGAAAGAAATTCCAGAGATTCTTCACATCTGTTTATGAAAATCTCACTTTCATTCTAGCGATGACCAACTTGAGAACATAGCCCAGTGCTCCCAGTTCTGCTGGGGGGCCGAGGTGGCATGCTTCTGACGTTGCTTTGGGGGGTGGAGGGGTGCTTCTGGCACAGGAAACATTCGTCATGGACACCTCTTGCCCTCCCTCTCACTTTCTCTCTGCAGAACTAGAGAAGCAGCTGGTGGCCCTCATCCCCTATGGGGACCAGAGGCTGAAGCCCAGGCACACGTAAGCTCCTCTTCCTACCTCTCAGCTCCACAGGCGGTTCCCTGGGGCTGTTCCTCTGTCTACCCCGTTCTGCCTCCCCCCAGATTTTTCTCCATTGATTCTCCCCCCAAACGCCTGAGCCTCACTGGGCTCATATGTACTAGCCCCGTTTCTGAGGATTTTCCTGATTCCAGAAACCCAGGGCATAGCTACCTACAGCCACTTGGTGTCCTTCTGAGCATCACTGCCTCCAAGACACATGCCCCCCGCCCCCGCTTTTTAACATTAAATTTTGACAAAGTCATCTAGTGTTTGCTTTGTTCTTTCTTCAACTGCTTTTTTGTTAAAATGTTTTTATTTCAGAGGAAGGGAGAGAAGGATAGAGACATCGATGATGAGAATCATTGATTGGCTGCCTCCTGCATGCCCCACACTGGGGATCGAGCCCGCAATCCGGGGAACGCGCCCTGACTGAAATCAAACTGTTACCTCCTGGTTCATGGGTTGACGCTCAATTACTGAGCCACATCGGCTGGGCCATGGCTCCCTTTTGAAAGCAGAGGACCTCTTGACTCTGCATGTCCTTCCAGGAGGGAGGGAGGTGGTCCTGGCCGCAGTTGGTTTGGGGAAGTTATTTTTCCTAAGAGCTTCCCCGCTGTGCCAGCTCAGACATGCTTGTTCTCTTCCCAGTAGAGATGGAGAGCCAGCTGCTCCCTGTTCGGAGACGCTTCAGAGCGTTAGAGGCAGCCCTGAGTTTCTCTAGGCCGGGGTTGGGGGTGTCGTGACCCTGATGATCATCTGGGTCTATTTGACAGGATCCCTGCAGTGCCCTCCCACAGTTCTCAGCTTCAGTCTGGGAGCCAGCACCCCGCCCTCCCCACCACTGCACCAGAATCTAAATCTAACAGTGCCGCTCATGAGACACTTACAAGGTGCTATCGCTTTAATGCCCATCTCAATTTTAAATTAAATGACAGATGATGTCCTCTTCTGAATATTCAGAACTCTCAAAATTCATGTGGACTGGCTTTTCCCAGTGGTAATAGGGGCTTTAGCTATGTGCCAGGGCCTGGGATTGGTGCTTTTCACGCATTAGCATATATCAAATTCTATGAGGTAAGTACAGTTATCTCCATTTTACAAGCAAGAAAACTGAGGCTTAGGGTTGCTCAGAGGCACTGGACCAGAGAGCTAGTAATGGAAGCCAAGCTGTCTGCCACCTGGTCCTGTGCTCCTACTTGCTCAGTGCCACATCGGAGTGTAGGCTGGCCCTCCACATCCAGGGGGCTACATGGCAGGGGGGGTGCCGGGGGAGGGCGCAGGATGCAGAGGAGAGCCTTGCATGTGGAGAGGAGCGCCTCAGTTTCCTTGAGGTTCGGACTTCTCCACTCCTCTCCCCTGGGTCCTACTTTCCCACAGGGAGCTCTTCGTGTTCCTGGCAGTGCTCATCTGCCTGGTGACCTCCTCCCTCACCATCTTTTTCCTGTTTCCCCGGTCCATCGACACGCAGCCTGCGGGCCTCAACTCCTCCTCCACTGTGGCCTTGGACGAGACTGTCTACATCAACATAACGGTAGGTGGGTGCCTGTGCCTCTGGGCCCTGACCCCCACTTTCCCAGCAATACTCCTCTGTAGCCCTTGCCCAGTGTTGTGATCCTGGGCACCCAGAGGGTGTTAGAAACCTGGGGAGAAGCAGGGGCCACCCTGAACCCCAGATTGTGTAGGATTGGGACTCTCCACAGTGAAGGGTCAGAATCAGGGCCCAAGAAATAAATCACAGGGTGTAATGGGAGTGGCATGCCTGAGGCTCCCTGGGTGGGCAGGGTGCGACTGGATCCTGAGCCAGCTTAATGTTTTAGTTAAAGTGACTCCTCACCATTAAGACCCCCCCAAGAGGGGCTCCTGGCACTGGTCCTCAGCAGCTGAGGTCCATATGGGGGTGGAGCTCAGTCAGGCTGGGGTTTTGAAACTGTTTGACTTCTCCTTTCCAAGGTTGGCCACACTCACCCCTCCCTTTCCTTGTCTTCATCCCCAGAATATCTTGAACATCTCCAATAGCAACTACTACCCCATCACTGTGACCCAGCTAACCATTGAGGTGCTGCACCTGTCCGTCGTGGTGGGGCAGGTCTCAAATAGCCTCCTCCTCCACATCGGCCCTTTGGCTAGTAAACAGGTGTCTCCCTCGCCCTGGCCAGCCCTGCCCACAGGGTGTGGATGTGTGAGGTGGTGGGAAGGGGGTGACGGCTGGAGTTGGGGCTAACCCTATGCCATTTGGTTGACAGATTTTTTATGCAGTAGCCAACAGGATCTTGGATGAAAACACATAGTGAGTATCCCTTGATCTCTTCTCCCTCCGCCTCTTTTCTGTTTGGAAACCTGGTTTTAATCCCCACCAGGCTTTCTGATTGCTTAGCAAAAACCCTGCAGCCAGCCTTTGGCCTGTACTCATGGCTGAGGCTGCAATGTGCAAGGAAGTGTTCAGGGTCCCCAGCCTCTCTTCCTGTTTAGAACTAGATTGGAATGAGGAACAGGCTAGCATTTGGTTAAGCCTTACAATATGTGACCTGGGGCTCTTTAGCCTGAATTGCTGAGGATGAATGTCATTTTCTGCTGAGGGAGGGGCCAGCATGTGCCTGGGCCAAGCCAGTTGGGGTTGGTGGAGTGATGTTGCAACGAGGATGACATATTCCTTAGTCAGAGGGAGTGTGTGTGTTGGGCGGGGGGGGGGGGGGGGGGGGGGGGGGGGGGGCGCGGCATTTGGGGCCCCTGAGGGAAAGGGGCCTAGAAGGTGACAAGGCTGGGACTTGCAGGTCTTTAAGCCTTCTGATGGCCACTCAGTGTGAAACATGATCCAATATCTCTCTCTCTCTCTCTCTCTCAGCAAAATCTGTAGCTGGCTGAAAATCAAAGTCCACCATGTGCTTTTGCACATCCAGTAAGTAGGGCTTGGACTTCTCCCACTTCTGACTCCAGTCTCTCCTCAGCCTCACCTTGTGAGAGGAGTTACCAAGGTGACCCCATGAATCTGAATCTGTTAGTTCTTGGGAAGAGCAGGTCCAGCCCCTACTCTAGGTCCCACCTTGCTCCTAAGCTTCTAGTGTGACGGCCACAGAGCTGTCTGGAACACAGGTGAGGCAGCAACCTCAGATGCCTTAGCAGAGTGGGGGACAAAAGAAAGGAGGGTAGGATCTGAGGGAGCCAACCCCCCGCCCCCAGACAGCAGGCCGTGGCCAGAGCTTTCCTCTTCCTCCCAGACATAACAGCAATGCCTGCTTCCTCTCCAGGGGCACCGTGACCTATATCTGCTTGAGCCACTCAGAGCAGAAAGTCTTCCAGAGCTATGAGTACGTGGACTGCCGGGAAAACACATCAGGGCCTCACTTGCTGGTCCCTCACCTGCCGTGACCTGTCTGCTGTCCCCAAACTCTAGGCATCTGCCAGCCTGGTCTGTATCTCTCACAGCTCCGTAGGGCCCAAGGATGGACTGTGGTGACTTGGCCAAAGGAAAAGCCCTGCTTTATCATACCCTCCCACCCCACCCACACACAGAAGCGCTCCGATCCCCACAGGCACGGAAGCCGGGTTCTCCTCGGGGCTGCCACCAGGTCCTCCCCTGGGTCTGGCTTGAGGGAAGTCTGATGTGATGTTTCCTTGGAGTTAGAGTCCCAGGAGTGGCCCCTGCCCTTTCTGTTCTGAGCACTTTAGTTGCCCAGCTCCTCAGGTCTGGCCTTCCTCCTGCCTGAATGTGAGAAAGTGTTGTATCCAGCGTTAAAGACATGCATCTTTTCGTGTTCTCCACCGAGTGGTGGGAAAGCAACTTGGGGGGCATGCAGGGCGGTCTCCAGGGTCTTTTGCAGAACACAGATGCTCTCCTGTGCCTCCCTGTTTGGGTTGTGTGACAAAGTGATGGTGATGATCGACTTTGCTCCTGGGAACTTGTCCCCTGCCCGTCTGACAGCTGGGTTGGCCGAGGCTCTGCATCCTTCCTGGTTACAGACTGTCCTGGTTCCTAGGAAGACAGCTCCAGCTTCTCCCCCGTGAAACAGTTTATTATTCTCTTCAGAGCAGGAGCAACTTAAAGTAGCAGGGGAGGGGAGGGAGGCACCTGGCACCCATTGGGGGTAGCGGGGGCGGGGGGAGACAGACAAAGCCAAGATCATTTTAACAGATGTTTATTTATTGAAGGAGAGCTCCTGGCGCGTGGTGAGCCCATAACCCTGAGCCTGGGCGAGGAGACACAGGCAGGCCAGGCTGCTGGGCTCTGCCACTCCAGGCCCACCTCCCAGAGGCCTCTGCTTTCCTTTGGGCATTGACGGTAGAGACAGCACATCAGTAGGGACTGGTCTTTGCTGTCACTCAGATGAAGCTAAGTCCTCCAGGTCCCCCTGGGCTCCATGTGGAGGCGGTTTCCTTCTTTAGTGAGCAGAAATGGTGTTTGCTCACTAAAGGTGACTATGGTTTTTATCAGGTGGGCAGAGAGATGAGCTTGGGTGGTGGGGAAGCTGAACCTGAAGGAGGATGGGTGGAGAGGGGGACTGGTGACAGAACCTGGTGCCTGGTGGGCTGGGGGAACAAGAGGGAGGAAGGAGGTTGTGCTGTCTCCACATTTTCATGTCTGGGTAACGGGTCAAAGTGGTGCTGGCAAGAGTGGGGGAGTCCAGGAAGGCCAGGCTAGAGCTTCTCCTGTGTGTAGGTTGCCAAATGTGAAGAATTTATATTGTAGTCAATAAACTATACTTAATGTTTAAAGAAGTCTCCTGTGAGCGGGAAGGGAGCTGGTGGACATGCCCCATCTCAGCCTGGTGTTGATGTCCCAGGAGTGCCAAGGTGTCTTCCCCAGGCCCCGAGCCCCTGACAACATGTCCTGCCTCTGGCTTCTGAGAGATGGCTCGCTCCCTTTCTCACCGTGTATCTCTAAGGCCCCTTCCAACTTTAGTCCTAGTCTGTGTCCCCCCTACACCCCCCCTCAAGCTGCTCCCCTCAAGAAACACTGCACTGAGGGGCTCCAGTCTGACAAAGGCGATGCTGTGTGGGCCACCACAAGACCCAGGCATCCCCCTCCCTGGTCCCGGGGGGAGGGGGCCGGGCTGGAGGACCCTGGTGTCAGCTTGAGGAAGTGGTCAGGGGGACTCCTGGGCCTTTGGGGCCTCTTGACTGTCTCTGCTCATTGGAAAGGCTGACACCCAGGAAGGAAGAGGCTAATCCCTCTCCCCTTCCAGGGCCCGGTGTCCTGTACCTGAGGCTATAGCTCTCCTTCACTCTGAGCTCTGTCTCTCTATTCCTGCTTCTCATCAACCATTCAACAGCTGGGTGCCCACTGTGGGCCAGGAATTACACTGGACTGGGGCGGTCCTTCCCTGTCTGCCACCTCTTCCCACTGCTGCCCCAGGCCTGCTTGGTGGGCGCCAGTCCCTCCTTCCCCAGCTGTATCTCAGTAAGCATCAGCTAGGAGGAAGGGGGTGATGGCTCCTGTGAGAGTCATAAACCTGAAGCCCCAACAGAACTATCATTGCTAAAGAAAAGGGCCAGCCCGGCCAGTGTGGCTCCGTGGTTGAGCGTTGACCTGTGAACCAGGAGGTCACGGTTTGATTCCTGGTCAGGGCACATGCCCAGGTTGCCTGCTCAATCCCCAGTAGGGGGCGTACAGGAAGCAGTCTATCAATGATTCTCACTGATGTTTCTCTCTTCCTCTCTCTGAAAAAAACACACACACAAACTTTTTTTTTTTTTTCTTAAAGAAAAGGCTGGAGTTGGAGACTTGGGAGTATAGGCCAGTTCTCCCACTGGCTTTGCCTAGAGAAGCATGCAATCGCTTTCCACTTTCTTCTCTCACCCTCGCCATCCCCTCATGGGTGTTTTTTTCTCCCCCTCATGGGTCTTCCTGCCTCTTTCCCCTCATAGTCTCACAGAGCTGACCAGTTTCAAGTCTGCAGGAAAAAGTCATTTTATTCTGGGCTAGCCTCCTGTTCTGGAATGGACCAGAAGGGCATGGCCTTTGGAGTGCAGACATGGCTGAGTGGTGAGAAGGTGGAGTTGCTCATCTGTTGTTTACTGATGGCCAGTTGGGCCTTGGGGTCTGTCAGTGGATCACCACTGCTGTATGTAATCCATTGACTGAAATGAAGGCGGGACAGGAGACAAAACATGTAAATTAGCAGTTTCTGGGCTTCTTAGTTTCAGAGCATTAAGCCCTTTTGAGGCCGAAGGAATCCGAGTGAAATGTAACAGTCCCGTCCTCATCCTAAAAGGACTTGGAACGACCAGTCTCTAAGCTGAGCGCTTCTGGTGCCTTCTCTTGGCACTGCCACATGCAGTCCTCATGAGCCCTCTGTGCAGGAGCTGGTATTATCATTCACTAACTTATGGAGAGGACAACAAAGGCTCCGAGGGGAAGTCATACTATTAGGGCGTGGTGATCCTGAGACCAACAACGTTACTGCAGGTCTTGGCTTCCTCCTGCTCCAGCTGCCTCTACCCCAGCCAGCGCTTAAACAGCCCCCCTTGCCTGGCCTGCATTGCTCAGTGGTTGAGCACCAACCTATAAACCAGGAGGTCACGGGTTTGATTCCCGGTCTGGGTACATGCCCAGTGGGGGGGGAGGCATGCAGGAGGCAGCCGATCAATAATTATCTCATAATTGATGTTTCTATCTGTCCCTCTCCTTTCCTCTCTGAAATCAATAAAAATACATTTAAAAAAAAAAACAAAAAACAGCTCCCTTATTTTGCTTCTCTGGCACCTGTCTTCTCTCTTCAAATAGATTGTCAACCCCTCCACTTATGCTAGTGCAGAACAACAGCCCCTATTTAGACATTTTTAGGGGATAGGGAACGGGGGAATGGACCATCTAGAAGTGAAATAATTGCAGCCCCTCCCCCACCCCTGCCAGGAAAGCTCTCCAGACTCCACGCTCACATGTCCACAAGCGCACACTCAGACACCCTGCCTGCCTGCCTTGCACGCTCTATCTCACCGTGAAGCGTGGCTTCAATGTGTATGTAGTTGGGCAGGGTTGGTCTGGTTTCCTGAAACCTGATGATGAAACAAAGCACATGTTATTCATCTGGCAGTTTCTGAGGCTAGAACATGGCAGAGACAGACTCTTCACTGTGTGACCCGGGGGAGGTGGCAGCCCCTACCTGGGGCTGGGCACAGACTGAGCCCACCCTGAATTTCTCAACTAGGAATGGTGACTCCCTGTCCCAGGCCTCACAGGGCTCCGTATTATCTGTGGCTAAGCCTGCAACTCACATCCCACCCTCTGACCACCCTCACTCACCTCTGTCCCCCTCCCCTGAAGGAAGGGCTGACAACGCCTTGGCCAGCCTCTGCAGAAGTTGGAAGCCGCCCTGGCAGTGCCAGTTTGGCACAAACACTCAGAGGGAGTGTCCCCAAGTAAAAGCCCCGGTGCCAGGGCGAATCACGGACGGTGGGACAGTGGGTAACAAATGAGAGTTCTGGGCCCTCGGGCAGGGGTGGGAGACAGCCTCACACTTACTGGGGTCTAGAGCGATTTTCTGCCCTCCTTGGACTTTATCCTTAAAGTAGCTGGATTGTCCTTTAGTTTGATGGGCCCCCATGGAGTCAAGCTGGGGGCCAGGCTTTTGGGAATCCTGGAGTTTGTGCTTGGAACTGAGCTGGGTAAGAGGGTCTTGGGCATTTTGTTGCCATGGTTGACATGGAGGCTGTGGCTGTGGCTGTGGCTGTGGCTGTGGTGGCGGTGGAGGCTGTGGCTGTGGCTGTGGCTGTGGCTGTGGCTGTGGCTGTGGCGGTGGCGGCGGTGGCGGTGGCGGTGGAGGAGGAGGCTGTGTCTGTGGTGGTGGCGGTGGAGGCGGTGGTGGCGGTGGTGGTGGTGGCGGCGGTGGTGGCAGGGGCTCTGGCTGCTCCGCTGGCTTTGGCGGGGGCGGCTGTGGCTGTATAGGTGGTGGCGATCGTACCTGTGATGGCCCTGGCTCCTGATGTGACTCCTGAGATGGCTGGGTTTGCTTCTCAGATTGGCATTTCTCCTTTTGGGGTTTCTTCAGTTCCTGGCAAGAAGCCCCCGGCAAGTGACAGCCTCCTCCCTCCCACCCGGGCACCCATCTGCCAGATACCACAGGGAGCAACACAGCAAATCCAGAGGGAGAGGTGCCCCGAGGGTCTCTGTTCCCTGGAGTGGAGCCTGAGGCTAGAGCATGGGCTAACTTCCTTCACCCGCCACAGCACCAAGCACTGCTTCTCGGTGACATGGCCCCTGGCACAGCCCCTCCCAGGAAACATCAGTCTCTGAGCACCTACCTGCTAGCTTGGGAGCTGTGCACTGAAAAACGGTTTGCAGGACAGGAGGATAAAGAATAGCTTTGTGCAAATGCTTTGAAACAGCGCTGTCCAATAGGAATATAGAATGTGCCCCATGTAATTTTAAACTTTCTAGTAGCCACATAAAGAGTAAGAAGAGCCCTGGCCGGTTTGGCTCAGTGGATAGATCGGCCTGCGGACTGAAGTTAAGGGTGCCAGGTTTAATTCTGGTCAAGGGCACGGGCCCAGGTTGCGGGCTTGATCCCCAAGAGGAGGCGTGCAGGAGGCAGCCAATCAATGATTCTCTCTCATCATTGATATTTCTCTCTCTCTCCTCTCCCTTCCTCTCTGAAATCAATAAAATATATATTTTTTTAAACATTTTTTTATTTTTATTGATTTCAGAGAGGAAGGGAGAAGGAGAGGGAAAGATAGGAACATCAATGGTGAGAATCATTGTTTGGCTGCCTCCTGCATGCCTCCCACTGAGGATCTAGCCAGCAACCCTGGCATGTACCCTTGACCAGAATCGAATCCAGGACCCCTCAGTCCGCAGGCTGACGCTCTATCCACTGAGCCAAACCGGCTGGGGCAAAATATATTTTTTTAAAAAGAGTAAGAAGCCCTAACCGGCTTGGCTCAGTGGATAGAGCGTCGGCCTGTGGACTGAAGGGTCCCAGGTTTGATTCCGGTCAAGGGCATGTACCTTGGTTGTGGGCACATCCCCAGTAGGAGGTGTGCAGGAGGCAGCTGATCGATGTTTCTAACTCTCTATCCCTCTCCCTTCCTCTCTGTAAAAAATCAATAAAATATATTAAAAAAAAAAAAAAAGAGTAAGAAGAGCCCTGGCTGGTGTTTAGTGGTTACAGCGTTGATCAGCACACCAAAGGGTTGTGGGGTTTTGTTTATTTTTAAGTATATTTTATTGATTTTTTTACAGAGAGGAAGGGAGAGGGAGAGGGATAGCGAGTTAGAAACATCGATTCAGCTGCCTCCTGCACGCCCCCTACTGGGGATGTGCCCGCAACCCAGGTACATGCCCTTGATCAGAATCGAACCTGGGACCCTTGAGTCCGCAGGCTGACGCTCTATCCGCTGAGCCAAACCAGCTAGGGCAGGGTTGTGGGTTTAATTCTTGGTCAAGGGCATATACCTGGGTTGGGGGTTCACTTCCTGCCTGCGGTTGGGGCGCGTGCAGGAGGCAACCGGTTTCTCTCTCCCTCTCTCTCCTCCTGGCTCCCTCTCTTCCACTCTCCCTGAAAAAGCAATTGAAAAAATATCCTTAGGTAAAGATTAAGAAAAAAAAGAAAAAGAGTAGGAAAAAACAGGTGAAACTAATGTTAATAATATATTTTATTTACATCCAAACATGTAATCAATATGAAAATATTACATAACTAGAGGTCCAGTACACGAAATTCGTGAATGGGGCAGGGAGGGAGGCGGCCTCTTGCAGTCCGGGAGCCCTAGGGGGATGTCCGACTGAGGCTTAGGCCCGCTCCCCGGACATCCTAAGTGCTACTGCTGCAGCTACGCTCACCAACAAGCCTGGCTTCTGCGTTGAGTGGCTGGCCCCTGGTGGTCAGTGCGCATCATAGCGACCGGTTATTCCACCGTTTGGTCGATTTGCATATTAGCCTTTTATTATTTAAGATTTTTATTCTTTGTTTTTGTACTAAGTCTTTAAAACCCAGCATGCATTTTACTCTTACTAGCACATCTTATTTGGGACAGGACATTTAGCAAAAAGAATTAACTTCTATTTAGATTTCATCAAATTTCCAGTTGAAAAAGTAGACTCACATATCCAAGTTGTCCCAAACAGAAAGTTTTCCAATATGTAAAGTGAGTATGTGTTTAAAGTTCGATATTTAAATGAATTCAATGTGTATAAAATTTTAAAATCAGTTCCTCAGCCTCACTGGCCACATTTCAAGGGCTTGATAGTACACAGACTGGTGGCTATCCTATTGGACAACACAGCTTTAAAACCGCCTAGGCACCAGTTCCCTCAGTTTGCCACCAGGCCTCAGCAGAGCTGAGTTACGCCAATGCGCACACCACACACACACACACACAAACACACACACACACACACACACACACGCACATGCACACGCGCGCGTTTATCCAACAGGACACCGAAGGACCTTGCTTTCCTCCTATTCCCAGCAAAACAACATTCACAGGATGATGACAGCTTCCTAGGGATCTGTCTTCCCTCCCCATCGCTGTCCTAACCCTGGAAGGACCCGGATGCACCTGACCGCTCTCATGCACCTTCTCTTGCTGTTGCTGCCTCAGCCCCCTACTCTTTTCCAAAGCCGCCTGTCTGCGACGGGCCTCCCAGTGGTAAGCGCTGCCCATGATGGTGGCGGTGCCAGAATGCCCCAGGCAGGGGATGCGGCTGCCGCTGCCCCCACTGCCCACCCACCTCTGTCCCCTCTCACCCCAACCCCACGGCCTGTCACTAGAACCACCTCACAATGTGGCCACTACCATGACAACTGGGCAGGACCTCCTTCCTTGGGGAGGAGGGAGGTGTTCTTCCCAAGCTTCCCAGGGAACATCTGTAATGTACCTTTCTTTCCAGGGCCCTGAACAGGTAGAAGACACCTTCCCCCATTAGCTCTGAGTCTAAACAGGCTCCAGGGACCATTCTGAAGTCAGCTGGCTTTTCTCTCTGTTTTTTGTTTGTTTGTTTGTTTGTTTTCTCCCATCCTTCCTAGGACTCCAGCATCTTCATCAGGCCCTCTGCTGACCCTCATCCCCCAAAGGTCTCTGGAGTTACCTCTCCCTCAGTCCTCCATCTCCTCCCCCTGTCCTGAGTCAGGAGGAAAGAAAATATAAAATCCAGGTAACTCTCACGGGCCTGGGCCCCGTGGAGTGCCAGGTGGCTGATTGGAAAGTGCCCCAGTGTTGGGATACATAATGCTGGGCACAAGCCTAGAGTCTAGCTCAAGGGTCCTCAAACTACGGCCCGCGGGCCACATGCAAATACAAATATTGTATTTGTTTCCGTTTTGCTTTTTTACTTCAAAATAAGATATGTGCACTGTGCATAGGAATTTGTTCATAGTTTTTTTTTTTAAACTATAGCCCGGCCCTCCAATGGTCTGAGGGACAGAGAACTGGCCCCATGTTTAAAAAGTTTGAGGACCCCTGGTCTAGCTCTTCCTCTGACCCTGCAGACCCCACCTAACCTCTCTGGGCTTGTTTCCTTACCTGTAGAACCAGAAGGGTATGACCTTCTTCAGAGGATTGGTCTCAGGACCAAGTAGATGAATGGATGGAAAATGTGTAAGAGGGAGTATAAGGTTGCTGAGCTACAGGTTGGCACTATTTATTACCCTACCTGACTTGCGTCCCTGGTGGTGGAGTGGCCAGGGGAGGGGGTTATTTCCTACCGCCCAGGAAGCTTCTGGGGGCAGGGTCTGGATAGACTATTGATCTGCCTCCTAAACATACATGCCTTTACCCTCAGACATAAATCTTTCTGGAAGCAGCAGAGCCTGAGTCTAGCTTCAGGGCTAAGGGCAGGGTAAGTGTATAGGTTGAAAAAGGGACTTCGTGCCCAGCCCCAGCCTCAAACACTGTCGTGGTAGAGGGAGGGTGCAGGGAGCAGCCCTTGCACCAGAGAACAGGTGTCTGGAGAGCCTGTCAATTCAGGTACCGGGTGTAGTGGGTCAGCTTGGGCTTTGAAGTCAAGCAAAGACTCCGATTCAGGTTCAATGCTAGTTGTGTCACTTCCTAGCTGGGGGACTTAGACAGGTCACTCAATGTCTCTGAGCCTTTCCTGTGAAGGTCGTTGGGGGATCTCATGGAATACATGGAAAGTGGCTGCCCTCACAGTGGACACCGGGCTATGGCCAGCTGGTAGCTCTACGGGGGGGACAGTGGGGCACTGAGCCTTGCTGGATCTCTTTCCTCCTTTGCTAGTTCCTTCTCCTCCTCTTTTTTTTTTTTTTTTTTAAATATATTTTATTGACTTTTTACAGAGAGGGAGAGAGATAGAGAGTCAGAAACATCAATCAGCTGCCTCCTGCACATCTCCCACCGGGGACATGCCCGCAACCCAGGCACACGCCCCTGACCGGAATCGAACCCGGGACCCCTCAGTCCGCAGGCCAATGCTCTATCCACTGAGCCAAACCGGTTTCGGCCCTTCTCCTCCTCTTTATCGCCCAGGGGTGTCATCTGCAACAATAGATGACCAGGGTTTCCAGAAGCAGGAGATGATACTGAGGCTTCTCACTGGACATTTTCCTTCCTATAAACGAACTCTAATAACATTTAGGTGGAAAATGATAATAAGAGGAAGAGAAAGGCACCCAACTTCCCACTAATTAGATGTGAAAAGGAGGAAGTGGGTTCTTGTTTACATCTCTTCCTCTCTCGCTTTTCCACTTGTTCTCCTCCTACCCTAGAAAGAAGAGGGATTGGATGGAGAGATGCTCAGGGTGGGGGAGGTGGGCTGGGCTGAATTTAGGGAAATGTTCCCAACCCTCTGAGTCAGACCTCAGGTCAGAGGAGGGGTTTTCCAGGGGAATCTGCCCATATTGTGCCCCCCTTCTTCTCTCCCTTTCTGAGCCCCGCTCCTGCCTCCCCTGCGCAGTCTCTCCCACCCCCACCCCTGACCTCAGACTTCCCTCCAGTCCCACGATTCTCCTCCACATCACACTGCACCCCTTCCAGTCTGATGTTAACTGATACTGGCCCTCGGGGACTTCCCATGCTGCCACCTAATTGCAGACACTTGCATTTGTAAAGCAAGCCTGTTATCACCCGAGACCTAGGATCTTTGTTGTGGAAGTAACAAAGTAGTTAAAAGCAACGGGCAGGTACGTCCTGTGAAATACTAGCTGCATCATTTATGAGGTGTGCAAATGTAGTCTAGTTCCCATCTCTCTCTGATCAGTTTCCTTGCCTGTAAAGTAAGGGTAATAATACCTCCATCCTGGAGATATTATAATGATTAAAGGAAATAATGCAGGTCACGCACAGGGTTCAATAAACTAAGGCTTTTATTATTATAGTATTCTACAAGTTTAAGGTATTATGAGAGACACCATTATTTTTTTGTATCCCTAAGCAAGAAAGGGAGAAAAACTAAAAAAGACACGCTGCCATGTAAACAGCAGTATTGCTTTCTCTTGGCATCGCATGTAAAATGCATCCTGGTTTCTGAGATATGAAGATATAAAAAAAGATGTGCATCTTGGATGAAATCGGGCACCATCCAGTGGCTCTCCACGGGGTGCCTGGGTTCTAAGCCTCTGTCTGTCCAACACCTGGATGACCTTGAACTTTCCATCTGGGAACCTGCGTTTCCTTGTAGGCCAGGTAAGCACAGGGTACGATGACTGAGCTGCTGGGAGGCCCAGACACTCTGAGGGGTGGTGGCTGCCTTTGCTACTCCCTGCTGGCCCTGCTGCCACGGAAAGGGAATCGAGTCTTGGCTGAGAGGATGGCACAGCACCCCTGTTTGGATTTTTTTTTTTTTTGTAATGTATTTTTATTGATTTCAGAGAAGAAGGGAGAGGGAGAGAGAGATAGAAACATCAATGATGAGAGGGAATCATTGATTTGCTGCCTCCTGCACGACCCCTTTAGGGGATGGAGCCTGCACCCAGGTACAACACGGGTGTTGAAAGAAAATGGCACACCAGTGGGTACTCAATAATGAACAGGAGGTTCTGAAGCCCAGTTCCTGGTTAAGTCTAACTCGTTTTGGAGCCTCCTACTCACAACTCAAAAAGAAAAAACAAAACAAAACACAAAAATGTAGCTCAGGTGTATGGATGCCTTCCTGTGTTCTGTCTCTCACCACCAGAAGATTCTAGAAACTGCTCTGCAGATTCTGCAGGGACTTAGAAGGCAAGGGCGAGGAAAGAGTGGTGAGGAATTGGATTTCATGTGTTGGAAGTGGAGGCTGAGATCCTGAAAAACACATTCGCTGCTTCTCCCTCAGCCTCTCTGCTTCGGCCATCAAGTCCAGTAGCAGAAGGCTTCTCAAACGTTGACGTGCATGTGCCTTCCCGGGGAGTTTTGTTAACGGATTCGGATTCAGTAGGTCTGAGACCCATGGTCCTGCGTTTTCAACATGCTCCTCGGCGGCGCCAGTGCTGCCGGTCAGTATCAGCTGCGAGCAGCAAGGCCGCGGCAAGCTCTTCCAGGCCCGGGGCACAGGAGCCTCGCTCTGCGGGCTGTTGTAGAAGTCTCCTCCCCCGGCAGTCACCCCCGCTGACCTAGCTGTGGCGAGTCGTAGACGTGCAGACTTTGGAAGTGGAAGAGAGAGAGAGAGAGAGAGAGAGAGAGAGAGAGAGAGAGAGAGAGAGAAATGAGGAGGAGAGAAAAAAGGGTCAGAGAGAAGGGAGCGAAGTTTGAGAAAACAGAACGGTATCTCTGTCCAACAGTCTCCCCAACCTGCTGTGAAAACGACTGTGACGAAGGGAACCCGATGGGCTGTCCACGAGGCCCGGGTGGACACTGCGAGGGCAGGGCTGCTGCAGGCACAGGGGCGCAGGCTGCCAGGGGCCGTCCGCTCAGCCGGCCAGACACCCGGCAGCCCTCGGATGCCCGGAGCGGAGCACTTAGGGGGGCCTGCAATCGGGCGCCTGGGCCCGGGCAGGCGGACCTTCCCCGGTCGCGCACTGGCTCCCCAGCAGCTTCGTGGAGGGCGGATGTGGCCGAGCGGCAGCCAGACGGGGAATGAATGGAGGAGCGCAGACGCCCTCGCCCACCGCGGGCCCGGGTCACATTCACCGGCGCCGCCCCAGGACGCACCCGGTGGCCGGCGTGACCCAAAGAATCAGTTGAATCGACAGGTTTTTTAAAAGGCAGAAGATTTTTTTTAAAAAAGAAAGGCCCATGCCCTAGCTGGTCTGGCTCCGTGGATAGAGCGTGGGTCCGCGGACTGGAGGGCCCGGGTTCCATTCCGGCCAGGGGCACATGGCCGGCTTGCGGGCTTGATCCCCCCAGTAGGGACGTGAAGGAGGCAGCCGATCAGCGGTTCTCTCATCATTGATGTTTCTACCTCCTTTCCTCTCTGAAATCAGTAAACATATATATTTTAAAAAAGAGAAGAGAAGAAAAGCCCTGCAAGGAGTCTAAAAATAAACATATCTAGAGAGAGAGATAAAATCTTGATATGATAGAGGCGGCGTCTGAACTGGATGCCTCTCCCACTCACCAGCCCGGCGGCTGGGGGCAAGCTGCCCGACCTCTGGGTCTCAACTGCTGGCCCTGCAGGGCAACTGTGCAGGTTTGAACCGAGGGAAGCACCTAGCACGAGGCCCGGCCGGACCGAGATGTCTCCTACTGTATTGTCCGCCGCCGGGCCCGTGCGATACCTACGGGCCCAGCTG